TATTAGGTGTTGGAATTAATTCGTAGCGTTTTACAAGTGATGGGAAGTACTTTCATTAATGTATTTTTTAATGCTCATGTGAAATAAATAACATTCTTTCATTAAAAACGCTACGAATTAATTCCAACACCTAATATTTTATTTGATGAGGTTTTTTGAATGCGAAAAATTGAATTTCATTGTGTCCCTCTAATGGCTCATGTCGTGACTACTTGAAAATCGGATATGTAAAAGAATGTTTGCTAAACGGAAGAAAAACGCTTATGTTATGGGGTTGAGAAAAATGTTTTTTGGGCGTCTTTAAACCATTTGCATAAAAGTCTTACAAAACGTTTACTGAGATTCAGTAATTTGTCACATTGGAACAGCGTTTGTTGAATAGAAGAAAAATGTTTATCTCAAAGGTATTGAGAAAAGCGTTTGCTAAATGTTTGAAAAATCTGACAGTGAACTATCTGCACGAAGGCGCATCCGCGTTTATTGAGCATCCTTTGGAAAGCGTTACTTTAGCATTACAGAATTTTCTTGAAACGATATATGTTCGAGAGCAAGTCAAAGCGAGAGCGGCAGCGAGAAAAATTTGAGCGAGAAGGCGTCTGAACTACAGTTCAACTTACGCGAATCTCCGATTATAAGTCGAACGCGACGGTTTTCTGGCAGCGGAGCGTCTCGCAGGCGATTGTACTTTTGCGAAGCGGTCACTTTAATCGAAAAAGGCGAAGAAGAAGCGATCACAGCTTGATTCGGCTTTTTATCCTTTTGCAAAGGCTTTCTTTTTTAATCGCCTATGAGAATCAAGAAAATTATGAAAATTGAGGTGACCCCCACGATTCGGATCGGCGAATGGCAATTCTCGGTACGGCCAAGCCATACCTTTTGCCATGCATCCGCCAAATCAGGAATCCTGATTGGGGTGTCGGTGTGTTACGCGTTTCGCGTCACGCGAACGCTGTGATCAATCTGACTTCGATTGCCATTTTGGCGGTTGGGATTTGTATACGTACGATACGCGGGTTGATTATATTTTTTGCCTTTACTGATGAGGTGATTGTCAAGTTTGTGTTTTTTAGAAACTTCAGAAACATTTGATATTTTTCTAGAAGCCTCCAATCTACCCGTACACCAAATCTACGAAAACTGACTTTTAAGATGCATCTCGAACATCCCGCCCGCCTTGTCACGCAGTGACGAAAGTAATGCTCATGCTCGGCAAGCGTACAGATGTCGGGCGTTCGGCTTATTTGAAAGATCGCGACGCTTCAGATGGCGCAGACTGATGATGCTTGCGCGTGCAGCGCACGGTGTTGCGGAAGCCTGTGCTTACACATGATCGGAGACGTTTAAGTTTAAACTAATAAGAAAGTATTTAAGAAATAATAATGCAGACACGGTCATGAAATCTAGCTATGATATCAATTGAAGAGAAATTAGCAGATAATCATGATTATTAGATGTACAACTTTGCTTCCGCCGTTTTCCTATAGATGGCTTTAGCGGTAAGTGGTGGTCGAAATAAATAGATCATAGACGTCATACAATAAACTTGGGCATCTGTCAACATAGAAACCCCATAGAAACATTAGTCGATTTGTGTCTACATCATAAAGTTATTCTCGATTGAAAATGTCAGTTTACGAGCCAAGTTCTCATCATTTGTGGGAGGTTTTAATTTTCTGCTTCAATGTGAAGAAATCTGCGGCTGAGGCTCATCGAATGCTCTCAAATACTTATGGTGAGGCCGCTATTAATGAAAGAACGTGTCGTGAGTGGTTTCAATTCTTCAAGAACGGTGATTTTGACGTCGAAGATCGGCATAGCGGTGGAAGAGAGAAGGTTTTCGAAGATGCAGAATTGGAGGTATTACTTGATCAAGACTTGTGTCAAAATCAAGAAGAATTGGCACGATCATTGGGAGTGACTCAACAAGCCATTTCAAAACGCCTCAAAGTCATGGGAATGATTCAGAAGTAAGGAAATTGGGTACCGTAGAGTTGAAGCCGAGAGATGTTGAACGGCGTTTGTTTGCTTGTGAACAGCTGCTTGAAAGGCAAAGACGGAAGAGCTTTCTGCATCGCATTGTGACTGGGGATGAAAAATGGGTTCATTACGATAATCTCAAGCGCAGAAAATCATGGGTAGTTCCCGGCCATGTTTCCATGGCCAAATCGAAAATTCACGGCTCCAAGATCATGGTCTGTATTTGGTGGGACCAGCTCGGTGTAATGTATTATGAGCTGTTAAAACCGACTGAAACAATCACAGGCGATCGGTATCAAACGCAATTGATGCATTTGAGCCGAGCATTGAAAGACAGACAATACAACGAGAGACACGATAAAGTGATTTTGCAGCATGACAATGCTCGATCCCATGTTGCGAAAGTGGTCAAGACATACTTTGAAATGTTGAAATGGGAAGTCCTACCCCACCGTATTCTTCAGACGTTGCTCCCTCTAACTATCACTTGTTTCGATCAATGGACAAACGTTGCTCCCTCTGACTATCACTTGTTTCGATCAATGCCACACAGCCTGGCTGACCAGCACTTCCGGGCTTATAAAGAAGTAAAAAATTGGATCGATTCGTGGATCGCCTCAAAAGATGATCAGTTTTTTTCGACGCGGGATTCGTACGCTGCCCGAAAGATGGGAGAAAGTAGAGAAAGTAGGCCAGCGATGGACAATACTTTGAATTATAAATGTACACAATGCGACAAATATGTTCCCGGACACGAACGACATCTCAGCAACCTGTGGCGACATCTGTGCGTTCAAACATGCATTTTAAAGGTTGAACATTTTGCTATCATCTGTCAAAGTTTCATTCATTTTGGTTGACATATAATGAAGATATGACAGTTCATGTTAAACAAGAGGTAGAAATTTTAATAAACAAAGAGCAGTGATTAAATTTAACGCAAAACTTGGTAAAAGTGCATCAGAAACATTCCGATCGATGCAACAAGTTTACGGCAGTCAATGTCTAGGTCGTACAGCTATTTTTGAGTGGCATAAGCGTTTTTTGGAAGGCAGAGAGACCCTTGAAGATGACAAAAAATCAGGACGGCCAATTTTGGTTCGAACACCCGAAATGATCGAAAAAGTACGTGATTTTGTTGCAAACG